TTTTTCACTGGCTGAATTTGTTATCTTACATTTTGCTTTCGGGCTCATGTTCTTGCAATATGGCAGTACTGGATTACGAGAATGCTGTTTGCTAAAAGTGAACAATGCCTGTATTACAGCAAGTCTGTAATGCCTAGAAAGAAAAGGAAAAGCAGACCTGACAAAGCACACCTTCTTGTTAATTACATGCAGATTGCAAATGCTCATACATCTAGTGAGTAATAACTAAAGCCAAGCCGACTTGGAGATATTTTTACACTGCTGATCACACAGCAAATCCAGTTACAGGGCCTGAAAATTAATTACAGATTAGGACTTAATATTTACTACTGGAAATAATGCAGCTTTATTAACACGTAGCCTGTACCATTGTTCAAGTATGATGGACTTGCCAGATAGGAAAACTTAGGTTGCGAGCTACCTATAAAGGCAACACCTCAGCTCATCTCAAATCCCATCTGATAACAGACAAGAATTCCAGCAAAATGCAGAAAACACAACTAGGGCTATGGACTGACCAAGGATTAAACTAGCAGAGCCAGCCCTAATTCCACCATTATAAGGCTTCTGAGTGCCCCACTTGGTAACTGACACAAAATCCTCAGCACAATTTTCTGTCACTTAAAAACACCATGCAGCAGGATTTCAGCAACCAAATACAAATTCCAGGGTTTTTTTTGAGATGCCAAAATATACTAACAGCACAGACACAATTCAATTCCTACATACAGGATAGGGTTGCACGCTTTTTAAAAAGTCAAGCCCACACATTTGAGCACCTCTTGTCTCAAATCAGCCCCAAGTGTATAATCCCTATTTCTTCTACGCCATAAATAACAGTGAATGGTTTCCAAGAATTTATTGCTTACTTCCACTTGAAGTAAGAAACAGAGAAAAGTCCTGAAAAAACACAAACTATCTGAATTGGATAAACCAAACAGACCACATAAAATAGAGCTAAGCAGTGACATAAGAAACTGTGCAATAACTTGCACCAGAACCAAGCGATAAGTAAGAGATAAATCCGACCTAGAAAGAGCAAAGTACCCAATATGGATGAGGAAGGGATGCAGGAAAATCTAACAACCAACAAATCCCCCAGTTACTACAAGAGGAGATGTTAACCACCATCCTCAATACTATTAATCAGCTGCTCTAGCACTACATAATTTTTCAGAAGCATGTGACAAGGTGTAATGAAAAACAATGTAAATCACAAACAAAACTTTCTTTATAGAAACAAATCTGCCCAAACTCCTTGAGAGCTTGAATATTTAGCTCTTTAGCCACTCCTTTCAAGATAAAATTTACACCTTTCATTCCAAATAAGGAACATCACACACAAATGAAAAGCAAGGCTTATGAATAACAGGACTGAATACCATTCTTCCTGCATTTTTTTTTTTTTTTAATTCTTTAACTGGAAGTAAGGATTAAGAGACAAATAAAAAACAATGCCTACCTTTGACTTCTGTTCCTCTGTAGTAAATGAACAATCAGTACATACAACATAAATGAATTAACATTTTGGAAACTAACATCAGGGATATGATCAAAAGACACCAGCGTTCTCTTAAGTTTCAGAGCATGAGGTGACAAGGCTAAAAGCCTGTCAGTTACACTAACACAAGGATTGCAGATGTTATTCTGGCAACTTATAAGTCACAATACTTATCTAAAAGAAGTTTAATTAAAAGCTGAAAAAGAACAGCTGAAAAACAACTTTTCCTTCAACATTTTTCCCTTTAAATTCAGCATTGCTTTATCCCCCCTTATTTCATCCTCTCTATCTTTTGAAGCTATAATTTAATTAATTTCAGTGTATTCATCTAGCTGTAGTCTTACTGCCCTTGACACTTTGAAACAAGTCACATCCATTCTGAAAGGCAAATTTTCTCCATCCACTGATAAAACTGTTTTATTAAACAACCTACACTTCCACCTGACATGAAGAAATAGACATCTTAAGTAGCTTAGGAAAAATATCAAATCAGTCTTCAGATCCTTTGTTTTTAAGCCCTATGTCACGGATAGGTACCAAAATCTATATTGTCTATCTCAGCTATCGTCCATGACTTCACTTTATGCATCTGTGAATGTTCAACTAGGGATCCAAACATCACCATCTGAAAATGAAAGATATAACCAAGTGCACAGTAAAAATAAAATGAGCTTTCTCATTACTAAAACCTTCACCCTACATAGCTTTGGAAGTGCTGCATACAAAAAACAAATTCAATGTGCTGGGCTGCAGTACATTGATTTTGGAGAAGGATGAAACAAAATAGTGTAACATTTTCTAAACTGGGAGAAGCTGTTGACTCCCTCTAAGGCAGAGAGACCCTCCAGGAAGACCTAGACAAATTAAGGGCTGAATAATCACCAACCATGTGAAGCTTAACAGTTTAACACCTGGGATGGAGCAATTCTGGATGTACAGACAGACTGGTGGAAAAGCGTCTGGAAAGCAGCACTGCAGAAAGGGAGCTGGGGGCCCTGGCAAGCTGAATGACAGTCAGCAGTGCCCTGGCAGCCAGGAGGACCAGCCCTGTCCTGGGGGCATCAGGGACACCATCACCAGCCAGGCAAGGGAGGGGATTGTCCCACTCTGCTCTGAGCTGCGGCAGCCTCACCTCAAGTCCTGTGTGTTTTGGGCACCACAATAGAAGATGGATATAAAACTTTAGGAGAACATCAAAAGGAGAGCTACTAAGTTGGTGAGGGGGCTAGAGGAGAGGAAGGGCCTAGAGCCACTCAAGGAGCAGCTGAGGTCCCTTGTTTGTTTAGCCTGGAGACTGAAGGGAAACCTCATTGCAGTCTACAGCTTTCTAACAAGGGGAAAAGCAGAAGCTTTAAGCTAAGTAAGGGGAGGTTTTTCAAGATGGATATTAGGAAAAGATGGCTGGGCACCGGAACAGGCTCCCCAAGGAAGTTCTCAGGACACCAAGCCTGATTTCAAGAAGTGTTTGGACAACACACTCAGGCACACGGTATGATTCTTGGGGAAGTCTTGGGGAAGTCAGGGCCAGGAACTGGACTGGAGGATGCTTGTGGGTCTATTCCAACTCAGGATAGTCTGTGATTTTATGAACGTAAAACCTTCTGAACATGTTTACTACCAATTTATTTATTAGACCTAATGCCACAACCACAGTTTCTTCCCATGACTATGGCTATCAAAAAACTCCTCCCATACAAATCACAACATAATTCACAGGTTCTACAATCTGAGCTTCAGAGGACTCCTTGATATTCACTCCCTACTGCCTTTCAAAGCCATGAGAATACTTGTGTCTTTTGTGACCATAAAATGAAGTATCAGTCATGGTAACAATTTACAGAACTGTGATCCTCCCTCTTTTCTCATATATGAGCCTAGAAGCAGTTAACAACGACAACATTAAAACCTAGCACACCAGGGCATTTGGGTTAACACCTTGCTAATACAAACAGGACAGCTCACACCTCTCGCAGCTATCGCTCCAGTCTCTCTACTACCTTACTTAGACATCTCCACGTTTCGTTCATTCTGAGGTTTTCAACAGAGCTGTTTAAGCCAGAAACTAATGGGGAGCGGGGGGAGGGAAGCAAAAGATAGTGGATAACAAGGTAGCAGATTTAGAGAAGTGTCAGTAAGCAATGTCACTGCTCAGGAGATGAATCTCAGCATTGGTGCCACGCAGCAGGTACCCAAAGTACACCCTTAGCAGTCCTACCACAGCTAATATACAACCACAGGAAGGAACAGATAATGTCATTAGATACATAAACATGGAAGCAGAATGCTGATGACTTCAGTGTATGGTGCCATGCCTTTTGTTCTGCACTGAAATCACAACAGGCTGAATCGCTGGGATTGGCTCAGTTGGTTACAGCATGCTGCTAATATAACACCAAGGTTGTGGGTTTGATCCCATTATGGACCATTTACCTAAGAGTCAAACTCGATGATCCTTGTGGGTCCCTTACAGCTCAGCGTATTCTGTGAATCTGTGAATTAACTAATGTAGTAACTGGGCTTTTTCCAAAGGACAACTGGGAAGTGAAACTGCTCTGCAGATGAACATCCACCACTTGAAATGCCATGGTAAGTTCTATAACGTTTTCTTAATTGAGTAATAGATCAATGCTTAGAGGATACAATCAATAAACCCAGAATGTAACTACTCTATGAACACCTTGTTTGCAAGGCCTGGAGAGCCAGGTGCAAGACAGGTTTCCATCAGAAACCGAGAGCCTGGCCTTGGCCAGCATCCTTCAGCTTTTGGAGAAGCAGCCACAGGCGGCAGGGACCGAGGTGCACAGTCACGACCACTGCAGGTCACCACCACCTACGGGAGACTCAACACCTTGCATTAGATAAAGGGAATGGCCTTTTAAGACACCAAGCCGAAGGCACCTGGCTCGGGAATTCTGGGCACAGTGAGCGAACACTGCATGGGTATAAAGGCCACGGGCTTACATTCACTCCTGTGGACACGTGTCTATAACCATTCGGACAAGACCTCGGTAGCACGAAGCCGAGGAGAACATCATCTCGATGCTTTACGTTTGTTACACAGCCAGAGCGGCTACAGCAGGCACCCGCGGGCGCCTGGACGCCCCGGAGCTGCCTTCGCCCCGCGTCCTGCCGCTGGAGGTCACGGCAGCGGCAGCAGAGCGGCAAGGAGGAAAGCAGGGAGGTGGTTCCGGGAGCTCGCTGAGGGCACCAGGAACGTCCCAGTCCGCCGGGAACCTCGCGGAGGCCGGGCCGGAGCCCCCCAGGGCGGCCCTTCCCAGCACCCACCGGCGGTGCGCCGCAGCCCAGGCTGCCGCCCTCTCCGGGGGTGTGAAGGGCCAGCGGAAAGCGACGGGGGTTTCCCACAGGAAGTCTTGGCGAGGCGAGCGGCAGGGGAGAGGAGGGCGGGGGTGAAGTGAGTATGTCTGGGGGGGCGCTCCGCCACCCCGCCGTCCTCCCTTCTTCCCTCCCTCTTTCCCGCCCGCCCGTCGGCCGCCCCTACCTGCGGCGCTGGGGGCAGGCTCCATCTGCGGCCCCACGCAGCGGCAGCAGCTGCGCACACACCGTGCGCGCGCGTCCCCGGGCCTGCGGCGCAGGCGCGGCACTGCCCGGCCGCTCCTCCCGCTCCTCCCCGTGGAGTCGGGCGGAGACCGGGGCTGGGAGCGCTGGGGACAGAGGGTGCCGCGCGTGGAGGGTGCCGCGCGTGTGGGCGGCCCTGAGGCACCGTGACTGGGCCGCCACTGCGGTGAGCGGCGCCGAGGGACCGTGGGTGGGCTGATACTCAGTGAGTCACCGAGGGATCACAGAATGGGTCAGGTTGAAAAGGGGCCACAGTGGATCATCTGGTCCAACCTACCTGCGCAAACAGGGTTATCCTGGAGGATTGCGTCCGCATCGCTCTGGAGTGTCTCTCGTGAGGGACACTCCTCACCGTCTCTGGGCAAGCCGTTCCAGTGCGTGGTCACCCGCACAGTAAAGAAATTCTTTCTCATTTTCAGGTGGAGTTCCCTGTGCCTCAGACTCTGCTTGTTGTCTCTAGCCCTATTCTTTGGCACCACCGAGCAGAACCCGGCTCCATCCTCGTAAAGTGGGAGTGCCCGCCACCCCCACTTTAGATATTTATATACATTGATAAGTTCCCCTGTCAGGTGTTTCTTCTCGAAACTGAACAGGCCAAGGTCCTTCATCTTTTCCTCATAAAAGAGATGCTCCAGTCCCCCGCTCATCCTCATTGCCCTCTGCTGCATCCACCACAGGAGCTCCATGTCTCCTGTTCTGAGGAGCTCAGAGCTGGGCTCCTGACAGGCCTGGGTGCTGAGCACCAGGCTCCCGGGGCACCTCAGGGAAGCCTGTGTGTGTGTCAGCCTCTGATGGGGACTGGTGTCACATCCTCCAGCCCTTGGGGTGTCTGAGGCTTCCACAGCAAGGACTTGAAGTGGCAAAGGAGACTTTCATTGGTGGATGTTTTTATTGATGACTTGGTTTCTGACCATAAAAAGGGGCTTCCCAGTCGCTGGATGTGAAGTCCCTTCTCATGCCTCAGTGTCGCTGGGACCACATTCCTGTGACAGCAGTGCAGTTGACAGAGGAGCCGGAAATCCAGTGTCCCATCTCCAGCTTAGTTAGGAGTCTGCAATATATTTGAAATATTTGGTCAATAATTGACCAACCTTTAGTTATTACTTGCATGAGGGAAAAATAACCACTTCAGGACACAAAACATGGAGTAAAAAAGTTAATTTAAAAAGTGATAAATTTCCATAAATTGTCATACACTTAAAAACTCAAGAACATGATTCCTGAGAAATTAAGAGAAATGAGAAGTAAGGAGACATATCCAAAACTCAGGACTTGTTTTAACAAATACAAGCCTGAATTTTCAGAAAGCCTACCCTCTTTTCCTATCTTTAACATTTTAGAGTGACTAATTATATGAAAAATCAGTAATTTTATACAGTAGCCTCTTACAGGAGGCTGAAAAAATTCCTCCAAATATAGCATTTCCTGTGTTAGCTGGCATTGTTACTTTCTGTACTGTGAAAAGGTGAGTTTTAAATGTTACATTCTCAGGGAAGTGAGAAACCCAGGAGCCTTCCCCAAACTTCCAGATTGTATGCCTCTGGATGATAATAAGCAGTCTAGAAAATTCAGTAGGAGGAATTTAGATAATGCCATGTTATTTATTATTAGAATGATTTTCCATCAAAGTTTCAAGTTTTTCCCCAGACTGACATTATTTTCTCCATTTGAAAATTTAGTCTCCTTATTAGGAAATATATTGTTTCAACTTGAGGCCACACTAAGAGCTAAGTTTTTCTTGTTGGTGCATTCACAGAAATTAGTAGAGCGTGATGTAGGGAAAAGCTTCTACATGAATGCTTTTGGCCTTACTGATCTAGAGTATTTCTGCTTTATACCATTAAGTGCCTTTATGCTTTTCTTTTTTTAACCACAAGTTTGATTTCATTCCTTAGAGTAAAATATGAATATTACAATTGTTTTCTGTAACTTTATACTACTTCAGTTAATGTTTATGTACTGTTTTGAGAATTATAATTGAACAAAGCAATGCAAATGCAACATGTGAATTTGTTTGTATTTGTTTTATTAAAGGATTTTGGCTATGCCACTTCTGCAATGAATATAAGAGAGTGTTAAAAAAAAAGATACCAGCCAATCTGCAAAGAGTTCTTATATAATCTACAAAGAGAAAATACAAGAAAACACATGATACAAAGAGGAGCTTTCAACATGAGAGCCAAAAAAGGGGAATGTATGCTTTCAAAGTAAGTTGAGTCTTTAAAAAAAAAAAATTATTTAAGTTAGTAATTTTTGCTGCTCTTAAACTCTTGGCTACTGATGTTTTATACACGCTCTGCAAAATTAGAACTCTGATGGTTTCTTTTACTAATGACGATCTTTCAACTTACATGTCAGCTCTGTGTGTTGTGTTAATTTGATCTGTTTCAGGCCAGACCTTTTGCTGCTTCTTTCATGGAAACAGTACCTACAAAAATAAATGTCCAATAGCTTTGTAGCTTGGAGAAGCTGTCCTCTGCTGCTGCTGCTTCTTCCAGTAGCAGGTCTGGAAAGCAGAAACAGAACTTTCTGTGAGTTTTATTTCCAAGTCTGACAGACAAGAACCATGAATGCTGAGAAGTGCAAAAGGGACTAAGACACACCTTGAGGAAATAAGAACAAAGGAATAAAAGTTGATAGAACAACTTAGTTCTGGAGATTTGAGGGTCAGAAATAGTTTTTGAGGGAGGGCATATGCACCTGTGAGTCTGACAACAGTCTCATGCTATTTGGGTCTAGTAGAAATTATCAGAAATGAGAAAGTATCAGAGAAAGTGTTATCTTGACAGATAAGCAAATAAGGCTGACATGCAGAGCAGGAATGGCATAAGACAGTCAGGTAGCAACTGTCCACAAAGGGCTTTATATTAGGAGTAATATCCTATGTCTGACTTGGGAGCCTGTGCAGTGATCCCAGGAAGTGGCACAATGGCTGGCTCAATGACACAGGATAATTATGTTCTTACAGCAGCTTGAATAAACAGAAGCAGAACAGTTTTTGCCACCAGAAGAGAGAAAGTTACTGTGTGAGAGACGTGAAGTGTTAAGTGCATATCAAGAATTTTAGTGGTACAAGCAAAACTTTGTAAATACATGTTTTGTATGCAGTCTTGATGTTAATATGATCATCAACTTCTATAGAGAAAAGAAAAATTTACTTCCTTCATTAATGTGGAAGTGCCTGTGAAAATGAGCTCCATCCTGTAGGAGCATCCAAGGGTATAAAGGGATAGTTTATTAAAAAAAAAAAAAAAAAAGTGCAAAGTGGGTCTTCCTTAAACATGAGGTCTAACTTGTATCTTATCCCAGGAGTTTTGAAATCTGACATCTGGAGTATGCAAATTGTGTTTAGTCAGATCTTTTTTAATATGAATCTTGCACAACTTGGGCAGCCCTGTGAAGTTGTGCTGAAATGTGTGGGGCATTTGCCATGTAGCACTTGGATACAAGTTTGTACTGTATGCTTCGTTTAACTGAGACACTTATCCGCTAAACTTGCTTAATTGGGACATCTCCTGGGGCACTGGTGTAAGACCAGTACTATTTAATGCACACAACTGCTACTTAACAGGGCCCTAACAGAGCAGTGGCTACTGCTGAGTGCCCCTGGTTGTTTGGTGCTGCTTATGTCATCTCTCTGTCACAGTTTCTTGGAATTTATCTATACAAAGAAAATACTCCCTGCAATTAATTCCCTGAGGGTAAAATACTGGGAGCAGTATTGGAAATAGACTGATGATGGTGGTCACAATTTCTGCACTGATTGTTACAGTGGGGAAGATACAATAACTTTCCTTATAGTCTTGAAGGGTGCTTGAGAGAATGTTTTTCTTACAAAATTTTAAAAACCCTATATAGTCAGAAGTAGTGATGGTAGGTTACAGTAATTTCTCTGTTTCTAAGATTCATATTGTCATTTGATTAGCTAATCACCCATTTTCCAAAGCGTGAACATATTTTCACACTTCAACCAAGACAGTGTTAACAAAGAAACTATAGATAGCAATAGAGATTAATTATCTGTCCCGTGAGTCCCCACACCTTGTTTTTACCAGATAAAGAAAGCCTATCTGTCTGCACACAGGTGTGATTTTTTTTTTTAAAGAATAGTCTTGGTCAAATGAGTTCAAAGGCTTATTTTCAAGTGGCACCTCTTAGACATGTTTGCTCGCTGTTGGTGTTTTTGATCTTGTTTCATGAAATAGAACTACCAGTAAAGGGTTGTGATTCTTTGCTAAGCTTACCCATGTGAAATTCATTCATAGGTGTGAGATGTGGGGGAGCTTTAAATGAGAATATTTAGAATCAAAGAAATGTTTCCTTCTTTTCTGGAGGGAAAGTACTCTTACTGAAGTTACTGCAAAGTTGTTGAGGGCCTTATTTGCAATTGCTATCTGAGATTTTCACTGACTTGAGACATTTTCCAGAAGAGGGAAAAACACAAAGGAGTTTTAGTGTCTTTCTGTTGTACAAGTTGCAGCATTTTATATTTATTCCCCTACAGAATTAAACCCATCCATATGTCTCTTTAAGGATAGGACATCTTTACAGCAGAATCTGTTACTGTAGGAGCATTAAGCATATTGAACTATTTCTGCCCTGTCTTATGATTCTCTAATTCTGCCTGTTCTGGATGTTAGTGGATGCCAGTGTGTTGCAGACCTCTGAACCTGCAGCCTGTCAAACCTCACTTAAGTGATGTGAGACTTGTGCAGTATTTTCACAGTGCAGGCACTGGCACTGCATTGCCTTGGCCTTTCTTGCTCTCAAAGAACACATGGCTTGTTGCTTGGTGGCAAGCTCTGTGGTGGTAGTGCCTACCTCGAGTCCTGTGGACTGATTCTTACCACTTCACCAAGAATGAAATCTTTCCCTTTATGGGCCTGACCTTTCCACTCAAGTGTCAGGGCAGTTGGGACCATCTAATCAGGGTGAATAGCAAAACTTGCTGTCTCTAGCAAGATGTCACTGGAGTTGTATATAGGGAACTGGCCATCCGCTCA